GATAGTGAGAATAGCAGCACAACTGGAAGAATGTAATTGATGTCACTGAATTGTACATGTGGAAATTTTTGAAATGGTGTAACTTTGGCTATGTATATGTTCACCTAAAAAAAAGAAAAACGTCCTCCATGGTCGAGAAGGGAGAGTGTTGACATGTCATGGTATTGTTAACCAATGTCATAAAAGAATAGGTGTACTGACTGTCTAATGAGAAACTATTTGTTCTATAAACCTTCATCAAATTGCAATTAAAAAAAATGAAAAAAAAAATCAGACGATGCATTGTATTGAGCAAATCTGCTGCAAAAGACCTCTTTAAAGTATTAAAAAGCAGAGATGTCACTATAAGGACTAAGGTGCCCCTGATACAAACCATAGTGTTTTCAGTCACCTCATATGTATTCAAAAGTTGGACAATGAATAAGGAAAACTGGAGAAGAAATGATGCCTTTGAAATAAGGTGTTGGTGAAGAATATTGAATATACCATGAACTGCCAAAAAAAGCGAACAAATCTGTCTTGGAAGAAGTACAGCCAAATTGTTCGCTAGAAGAGAGGATGGCGAGACTTTGCCTCACATACATTGGACATGTTATCAGGAGGGATCAGTCCCTGGAAAAGGACATCATGCTTGGTAAAGTAGAGGGTTAGCAAAAAAGTTGAAAACCCTCAACAAGATGGATTGACAAGGTGGCTGCAACAATGGGCTCAAGCAATAACAATGACTAAGAGGATGGTGCAGGTCCAGGTAGTGTTTTGTGCTGTTGTACAGAGGGTCACTATGAGTCAAAACTGGCTCTGTGGCACCTAACAAGAGCCAGAAGAAGGAACAAATCAGTCTTAGAAGAAGTACAGCCAGAATAATCCTTAGAAATAAGGATGGCAACACTTCGTTTCACGTATTTTGGACATGTTGTCAGAAGAGACCAGTCCCTGGAGAATGACATCATGCTTAGTAAAGTAGAGGGTCAGCGAAAAAGAGGAAGATCCTGAAGAAAGTGGATTGACACAGTGGCTGCAAAAATAGGCTCAAACAAAGCAACAATTGTGGGGATGATACAGAACCTGCCAATATTTTGTTCTGTTGTACACAGGGTCGCTATGAGGTGGAACTGACTCGATAGCATGCAACAAGAACAATATTTTCTTTTTTTATTAATTCACTGACATTGTGCCTGTCCTTTAATTTTTTTAAAGAAGACAAGGATTCATTATTTGTCAAAGCATTTTTCCTATTTATTTATTAATGTATACATACATTAATCAAAACACATCTATATTCATGTTTTATGTGTGACGCTTATTGAAAAGAAAAAGAGTTAATGAAATAGATAATGTCTGGGAAACCGTGATGTAAAACTTCTGTCCCCACATCAACAATCTAGCTGCACCTTGTACTCCAAGATAATTAATTTCTTGTGGTCTGGGATCATCTGCTGCTTCTCAAGCCCAGCAAGATATGTAGAACAAGATGAACTTCCATGAAAACAAAGCAAACTTAAGTCTTACATAGAGGAATTAGACTTTTGAGTCTGCTCTAAGTTCACCCTTTCAGGTAGTTTTGCATTTGAGCAATAAAATGTGAGGCCAGAATTTGGATTCTGTTGTATTGATATTTCAGAGATTTACTCCCTTAGCCACTTTTGTAGGATCTGAAAGATTTTTTCTCGTGCTTGAATTAGCTCAGCTGAATCAGTATCCTGTGGCTCCAACATATCCTCACAGTGTGATTCACCTAAAAAGAGAAAAGGGAAATGTCAAAATATTTACATACCAAGTATCCAAAGACCAGACATGCTTAACCACTGGCTGCACATTAGAACCACCTGAAACACTGTTCAAACAAACTAATAGCTGAGCCCCATTCTGCAGAGGTTCTGATTAATTAATCGGGTGTGGGCTGGGTATCAGTAATTTTCAAAAGCTGGAAAAAAGATGACTAAAAAGTGCAGCCATAAATAAGAATGAGAATTAGTTTACTAATATATAAGGCTTTGGATCAAGTAAGTATGCTTCTTTGTATATAAGGATTGGGTAAACAAGATATTTATTAAAGTAAGCTACTGTTTGCTCCTTAGTAATCCTTCTGTGCTACAAACTAATGGACATTTTGGGGAATGACTAAGGTGGCAGATTTAGAGAATAATGTTTTTAGTTTCCTTTTTATTCAACCCAGGTGTGATATAACTTAAGTTCATCTGAGGAGGTTACAATATTTGAATCTCAGTGAGTCTTATTTTAGAAAGTTTTGCGGTGGTCTACTTGAGTCTCACTATGCTATCTCCAAGAGCTGATTGTTACAATTTTCAGAAACTCTGCAAGCTGGTTATTAAATTGTGAGCTTGAAATTGGCCTTGATTGGAGAATTTACACCACGGATATCAGCAGATACTATAAATCAGGGCTTTTTTTTTTTCCTTGTGGAGACTGGATTGATAAACATATAAGATCAAATGAATGAAATTTGATGGGGAATTAAATATTTGTCAACCCCTTAATTTTACAGATGAAGAACCTAAGCCCAAAAGAGTTTAAGGGACTTGTCAAGAATATTGCTTGTTGAGCTAAGAATTGAACCCAGTTCACCATAATGCCTGTCATACTCTGGGTTATGTAGCATATGCTGTGAAATGTAAGCTCAGGGTTTTACAAATAATCATTCATCCAAACCAAAAAACAAAACAAAATTAAACAAAACAATTGTGGTAGAGTCAATTCCGACTCATGTCGACCCTGTATGTTTCTAGTAGAACTGTGCTCCTTAGTACTTTCAGTAGCTGTCATCTTTTGAAATTCGATCACCAGGTCTTTCTTCCAAGGTCTGTCACCAACTTTTCAGTCAGTAGCAGAATGCTTAACCATTTGCACCATGAAGGGATCCAAGCATCCATTCACACTGTATTACTTTAGGGGCACCATGTATTTGCTGCTACCAAAAATAAAAATAAATAAATAAATAAAACATTGAGATAGCGTTGATTCAGATTCATAGCTACACTTCAGGACAGAGTAGAACTGCCCCAAAGGGTTTCCAAGGCTATAATCTTCAAAGAAACAGATGACAACATCTTTTCCCATGGAGAGACTGGTGAGTTTGAATGTTGACTTTAGGTTACCAGCCAAGCGCTTTACAATTGCACCACCAGGGCTCTTTATTTGCTGTTAAGAAGCTAAAATTATGTAATGACTACGGCACATCCAGACAATGGAGTACTATTCATCCATTAAAAAAGAATGAGAAAGACTTGAATGTACTGAAATGGAAAGATCTCCAGTGTGTACTGGCAAGAGAAACAAGCAAAGAGTAGGATAGTGTACATACTATGCTACCTTTTCTTTGCAAAGAGAGAAATAAGAATATACAAGATTGTATTTGCAAAAAAAAAGAAATACTGGAAAAATGAATGAGAAAGTAATAAAGATAGCTCTTTAAAAGGTTAAGAGGGAAGAAGAGTAGGAAGGGTAAGATTTCTCTGTGAGAAAGACCTTGACAACTGACAGATGGTAACAAACCACAGGGTTCCCTATAAACGTAAACAGTTTCACAGAATTTCAGCTTCAGCTGCGGTCACACATTGACTGTGATGAGACCAGGCACAAATAAGACCACCCTGTAATCATGACTAAACATAGACCCAAAAAGTATACTCTTCAGCCACAAGGAGTCCCTAGGTAGGACAAACCGTTAAGTGCTCGGCTACTAACTGAAAGGCTGGCAGTTCAAATCCACTCAGAGACACCTTGGAAGAAAGACCTCATGCCCTACTTCTAGAACATCATGTAAATTGAAAACCGTATGGAGCACAGCTGTACTCTGAAACACATGGGGTCTCCGTTAGAGTAGAAACTCATCATTATTATGCAACCACAAACATACTAAAATATCCTCTCCTGGCTAACATGAGTAACTACTGCTTTTCAACCATGACAACTCTAGCCCTACTTGGTTCCTCCCACTTCCTAAATAAAAACTATTAGGATTCATAATCACTGAAGTATCCTAACTTTCTTATAGCATTTAGTTTTGGCCAATGGCCAAATTTGAACATGCCACAGTGTAAAAGATAGTTTTGACACATATTGAAATCGTAAATATTGAAGAATACAAAATCAAATTAATACGAGAAAAAGCAGGTTAATATACCAGCTTCATTTTATTATTATGTAATATAACAAGTTATAAAACTATATTTTCAATGGGCACGAAACACTAATTGAATCCAAGACCAATTAGAAATGGGATAAGAAAGAGATGTGGAAATGGAGGTTAGGTGGAAAAGGAATATTTATCTACAAAATTTAATTCAGGGATTGAAATTATTCTCTAGTTAGAGATAACTCATCTTTTTTTCAGTCAATATGAAAAACCTGAAGATAAGACTTTGACTGCTTTGCCAGGTTCTCTTAACTTCATATTTACAATGGGGTGAGTCACGTTTTTCTTTAGCACGTAGTCTCTGAACACAGTGCCATGTACTAGGCACCATGGATTCAAAGATGAATAAGATTTGGTCCCAGCTATCAAGGAGTTTGCTTCATAGAGGGTGAGTACTAAACTTCTCCTTCTCTTTCTCAATTCTGTTTAGACATCTCTGACCCAGGAAAGCTCTCTGTGCAGTTATTTGCTGAATGTCTGTCTCCCGTGTATGACTAGCAGCTTACACCCCTGGTGTCCAGCACAGCATCTGACACAGGTAGACCTTCTATAAATATTTTTTAATGAATTAATTTGAGCACTCCTTCTTCCTTATTCCCATGAAAAAGAAGGCTTTGCAGTGGTTTTCTCAGGTCTTGAAGGTCTTTTTGAAAGCATAAGAACTTCTTGCTCCAAATAACTTGAGAGGCATTTGGCACAATGGTTAAGGTGCATGACCTTCAGTTTTGGTCCTACAACTCATTACACTGTGAATCTCAGGCCAGTTGACTTAACCTCTGTGTGAGTCCCTGAGTGGTGCAAACGGTTAACACATTCAGCTACCATTTGAAAGGTTGGTGGTTTGAGTCCACCGAAAGGCACGTCAGAAGAAAGACCTGACAATCTACTTCTGAAAAAATAAATTAGCCATGAAAAGTCTATGGAGCATAGTTGTACTCTGACACACATGGGGTCACCACCAGTCGAGGTTGACTTGATGGCAACTAGTTTACTGGTTTTGTGGTTAATTTCCTCATTTATAACAGGAGAAATATGATAGTAACTTGCCTTTATTGTTAAGAGGATTTAAGGAGATTGTACATGTAACAAGTGAAGCCAGAGTATTCAAAATGTAGCCACCATGAGCCACATGTGGCTATTGAGCACTTGAAATGTGGCTTGTCCAAACTGAGATGTGTTTTAAATATAATATATGCTGGATTTTGAATAATTAGTAAAAAATAACAAACAATGTAAAAATCATGTTAACTACCTTCTTATATTATTTACATATTGAAATGAGAATATTTTGAACATATCGAGTCATGTGAAATTTATTCTTAATTTCACTTGTGTGTGTGTGTACCAGAAAATTTGTTTACATGTGTAATTCAAATCTATAGCACACATTATGCTTTTATTGGCTAATACTGGAATGAATTGTGCCTAAGCACAAACAAAATCACATCGATTTATAAAAAAGTAGAATCATTGCAAAATTTAATGTTAAACGCACACTCAGAAGTAGAATATAAAAGATTGATGTTTGAGTAATAAAATAATTTTATGTGTAATAAATGTTGCATAGTGTTCTCGGTCCTCTATGGATGCCTATCCCAAGTCGTTTGAATCTTCTTGCTCAGAGTTACAATTCAGTGAGCAATTGCTATGTGTCAGGCTCTATGCTAATTATTTTACACTTACTATCTGATTGAATGATATAGCCCTATGAGTCAGAATCAACTCGACAGCAACCGTTTTTTTTTTTTTTTGATAGTTTATATATCTACCGCCTGTCTTTCAGTTTGTCATACTGTGGTGGCTTGCATGTTGCTATGATTCTGGAAGCAATGAGAACAATATATCAAATACCAGCAAACAATATATCAAATACCAGCAGGGTCATCCAAGTTGGACAGGTTTCAATGGAGCTTTCAGTCTAAGACTAGGAAGAAATGACTGGTGATCTACTTTTAAAAAGTAGGCAATGAAAACCCAATGGATCAAAACAGAATATACTTTGATATAGTGCTGGAAGATGAGCCTGCTAGGATGGAAGGCAAAAATGGGCTCAAGCTTGCCAGAGATCATGAGGATGGCATGCGACCAAGTAGCATTTTGTTCTGTTCTGCATGGGGTTGCCTTGAGTTAGAGTCTACTTGATGGCAACTAACAACAACATCGATGAACAGTATCTGATCCACCATGTTGGGAAAACGACAAGAATCTCTTCTAGGGAGAGACCAATAAGTTTGAACATACTCTAAAGCCTGATATTTCCTGGAAGCCCCACTGACCCTTTAAATAACTTACTTAAATCATATTTCTTCTTTTCTTGGTTAAGATGCTGAAAAAAAAAAAAAACCCCACCAAGTTCTTTGACATTTCAATTAAGTTCATTCCTAAACAAATTGTAATTTTCCATCAAGAGATGGTCTAATCCTTTACATCTATGCAGTGGTAAGACAAAATAAAGGACAAAGTATCAGTATTGTACCTACTGGGATCACACTAATGCTGTGTACACTTTGTAAAAACAAGAAGGGGCACAAGATTGTCTTGGCATGAATTTGTAGTCAGAGCCCAAACAGGCAAAGGTG